AACGAAATGCGTAAATGGGGAATCACCTAATATAAATCGGGGAATTACCGAATTTTATGTATGTAGATATGTGCATTGCAATAAGCGGAACTAAAAAATCGGGTATTAGAGTTTCGCGTCCGCTTATGGGAGATTTTTTGATCACATATAGGAAAATCTAGTGTCCGCGTCCGTTTATAAGAGCGTCCGTTTATCGGAATGCATTTAACATTGAAAATTGATGGCTGAAATTCGGTTCCAGGAACTTTGTCCGGTTAAAAGAGATGTCCGCTTATAGGAGCTGTCCGCAAGGAGAGCTTTCACTGTATATGTATGCAGAATTTTAATAAAGTATTTAATGTGATATTACAGATCGTAACAAAAAAATGATTGATTTTTAAAAAGCTTACCACCCTGTTTCTCAAAAGTCAAGACGTTTAGGACATACAATTATATGAAGTTTTCTTCTTAAAATGGAACCAAAAGTCGCCCTCTCAAATATTGAGATTCAGTTGGAAAAAACCTTATATTTTATGTAAGTAAACTTGAAGTTTTAAAGGTTATTGTAATACACTATTGTAGTTGTTCATTTTGGGTATGTTTTTTGACTATATGTTTGTTTATATTTCCTGTTATTATTTGTACCTTTTACTATCTGTGAATTCCTTAACAATTTCATGTATCATATTTTCCGTTGGTACTTGCAGAATATAAATAAAAGAATACTTGGAAAAAATAATTATTTTTTATGCTACATTGCATACACACCGAAATACAATAGGTTCGTTCAAAAATATCTAGAACTATAGATTTCATCAATTTTTAATCCTTTTTTCTTAAAATGATTTTTCTCTAGCATGATGTTGACTAGATTATATGCTATTTTATAAATTACAAGCTATGTAAACAGGGCTAAAAGGATATCTAATCAATTAAAAAGAAATCTTTCTAGTTTGGGGGTACATTAGATCATTTTGGAAAGTTAATTAACTCTAGGTATCAAATTTCTTGAAATATTCAATTTAAATATATTGACTCTTTTTTTCGCTCTAATAAAGTTCCTTACTCTGGAGTTATTGTCTTGGAATAATATTTTGTACCCTGGGCTTGTCAGGATTGGATGTTCTTTCAGCAATGCAAGTAGATCTGCAAAAATAGTATTATAAGTAATCGTGATTTCTTATGTTTTACTCCTAAGTATTGATATAACCATGAGTGTTAAAATATGTATCTCATATAGCATTTTTGCTAGATCACTGGATTCTTATTTAACCTATGCCAATAGCTTTGTGAGATTTTGTCAAATAGAAATGTTGATTACAATATTCAAAAAGCCACTTTATCGAGTTTCGTGTGACATTCTATATCTCACATGCAACATTAACCATTAGACATTTGAGAACCCCCTTCCCAGGCATAACAAAGTTCCTCTTGAATTCAATAGCTTTTAACTTTTAATTTACAAATTGCAGTGTAACACGTCAGTCACAAAATACAAATTCACTTATTTCAGTAAGGTTGGCTACTTCAAACATGCTCTCAAGTGCCTGGATGCATGAATCCATTCTTAGGAAGATCATTCGCCTCTTTATCCTTCCAAGATAGATATGGAGTTTTGTATGCAATATCGCGATGGTTTATATCTGCAAAACATTTGCACAGATTCAAGAAACATTAAAGTGTTTACACCTTGGTGTGGGCTACAATTTTATAATGATATTTTTAGAGTTATAGTCTGAAATTTTTAGGTTAAGGTTCTCACTAATATAAAAAAAATACCAGATAAGGCAGGTCATGTTTAAACTCAATTCATTCATCTGTGAGAATGAACCACATCTGAAAAAAATGCGATAAGTATATAAATATAAATATGCAATGTTTAAACATTTTGTAACTTTCCAGCATCATCAAGGAACAACTTGGATGTAAGCTGTTATTTGCAGTAAATTGTTGATTTTAGATCATTAATACCAGATATGGGACTTGAAGATACCACAGCCTGACGCATTTTTTCAATGTAGGAAATTATTATTGAATGATCAACACTATTTGCAAGAAAATATCCTTCGGCATTTGATTGTTTGATTCATCTGTCTGAAATTTTTAAACGTCAAAAAATAAACATAACCTAACGTCACAATTGACTTCTGATTGGCAGCAGACTAGAAAGGTACAGCAGGAGATACATGTACCTAACCGAAGAAGACGTAATATTATCGAAATCAAGGAGGCCATAAACGCGCCCTACAATTGTAAGGACGACTGACGATACGGGCCTAGTGAAGGAGGTATGATATGGAAATCAAGGAGGCCATAAAGGCGTCCCACAATTGTTGAAACGACTAACGATACGGCTCTAAAACCTACTTTATCGTTGACTAGGGAAATTCACATACGATTTTCTGATTGTTATCTAAGCCGCGTAAATATTTTGTTTTAATAATATTCTAAGGTATCGCATAGTTGATGCTCACATTATTTACAAAAAAATAAGGCACTTATGGGTCATAAGGCACATGTCAAGGCGCCAAGCACGTGATACCAAAGGGTACAAGCCGATAACAGTCAATATCGGCTTGGACGACTTATTCCAGGTCGTTAACTGATAGCTATTAAAAATCTGACACGCTTGATAGTGGCCTGAGTCTGACGCCCTCTAGATTTAAATAAGACAGTTTTGTTGAAGAATTTTGGTAAGCAGAGGATTGAAGATATCTGAATATTTATATATAGGTGCTGATAGCATGGGTGATTAAACAGAGTCGTCACGTAGCTGATTTGCGGTAGGTATCTTGCATCAGAGTGAACAATAATTAAGCAATCAAGTTTGCCTAGAAATGACCTGATTTCAAAGTTTTTATTTTAAGAGAAATCAGTTGAGTACTACCATTGTCTGTCAAAATAAGCAAGTGAAATCGTTACGAACGTCGCTGGTGGAAATCAAAAGAAAATTCGAACACTAGAAACACCTCTTGATAGTACATATATGTATACAGAATTTTAATAAAGTATTTAATGTGATATTACAGATCGTAACAAAAAAATGATTGATTTTTAAAAAGCTTACCACCCTGTTTCTCAAAAGTCAAGACGTTTAGGACATACAATTATATGGAGTTTTCTTCTTAAAATGGAACCAAAAGTCGCCCTCTTAAATATTGAAATTCAGTTGGAAAACACCTTATATTTTATGTAAGTAAATTTGAAGTTTTAAAGGTTATTGTAATACACTATTGTAGTTGTTCATTTTGGGTATGTTTTTTGACTATATGTTTGTTTATATTTCCTGTTATTATTTGTACCTTTTACTATATGTGAATTCCTTAACAATTTCATGTATCATATTTTCCAGTTGGTACTTGCAGAATATAAATAAAAGAATACTTGGAAAAAATAATATTTTTTTATGCTACATTGCATACACACCGAAATACAATAGGTTCGTTCAAAAATATCTAGAACTATAGATTTCATCAATTTTTAATCCTTTTTTCTTAAAATGATTTTTCTCTAGCATGATGTAGACTATATTATATGCTATTTTCTAAATTACAAGCTATGTAAACAGTTCTAAAAGGATATCTAATCAATTACAAAGAAATCTTTCTAGTTTGGGGGTACGTTAGATCATTTTGGAAAGTTAATTAACTCTAGGTATCAAATTTCTTGAAATATTCAATTTAAATATATTGACTCTTTTTTTCGCTCTAATAAAGTTCCTTACTCTGGAATTTATTGTCTTGGAATAATATTTTGTACCCTGGGCTTGTCAGGATTGGATGTTCTTCCAGCAATGCAAGTAGATCTGCAAAAATAGTATTATAAGTAATCGTGATATATAAATATGAGTTATAAGATCGATGCTTCGAGATCGCTTTTTAAAAAGTTTATTTTTCGAAAATACAAAACTCAAAACTGTACTTTTACAAAATTATTACAATGTTATTATGATGTAAACAGTACAAAGGCTTAAATCTGTCTGACTGTAAAATGTGTTGAGAACAATAAAGTAAACTCTAGGTCTTCTAGGAAATTAGTAGCATCGTCGGCAGTATTCCTATCATATCAGCAGGAACGGCTGATATAACTCCTCCCCCCTGAGATTCAACTTCGGGGAAGAATTCTTCAAGGAAGTTGAATAGGATGAAGTTCGACTTCTGGTTGTTGAATACTTCTATTTCTGAGCTTCCTCCTCTTCAAAATGGTTTTCCAGAATGCGTAGACACCCAAGAGTAATATACATCCATATATTATCAGTGTCCAGGCACTGGGTATAAAAAATTCTGTAGGTTTTTTGAAGTTGGGTTTGTTGTTGATAATGCTTGACTTGATTTTACTTAACTCGTCTAGCTTAATTTTTTCTAGATGCAGACTGAAATTTGTTTCTGTGATGTCGCCTTTAGTGTCCAGGTTTAAATCCGGGAATATTATAGGTTGGCCCGCGACAATCGTTTCGGGTTCATTTTTGATGACTTGGTGATTAATTTCGGCTTGACAGTTGACAGGAATATAAAGTAGGTAAGTTCCCGTCAATCTTTTCATTTGCATTTCTTCGTGGCATTCCATTTTGATAACTTCTGGTAGTGGCAGGATCAATACCCATTGATTAGTCCGTTTGATTCGTTCGATACTTGGCTGATTGATTATCAGTGGAGTTTGGGCACATGCAGTGGCGTTTCTTCCATTGAATAGTTCAAGTTTTTAGGAGTAATTTCAGTACAAATGTCGCCGAAAAGTGCAAAGTGCAATTCATTTTTTCCAAATAAGGCTCTTTTGGGATGATAGTCTTAAATTGACCTTCAAAATATATCGGGATTGGAAAGACACGATATAAATTAAATGCCTCAGAGTATGAGATTGGGAGTGACAAAACGAATGTAATTTTGTTGCCCACAGAATAACTGGAGATTTTGATTATTTTTTCAAAAGTTGGTATGTCATCTAGTAAAACTGAAATCGCAAATTTTTCCTGGCCTAATCTTGAGTTTCAGTTCACCAAAAATTTCTTCGGTTGTAATAATGCTAGAGTGAATTGTTCCAAGACGTGCAAAAATTATTGAATTTTCAACGTCTTGTAATATTGACAGAGTTACTTCGTAGCTGTTCATAATTTGAGATACTGTGTCTACTATGAATTTATGCTGATCTGAATCGATTGTAGTACGATGAACAATTGCATATATGGTATTAATTTTATTATTCAGCAATTGTTCATTATGACAGATTTGCTGAACAGTTTTATTGAACTTATCAATAAGAGATACTGACAGTGCATTATTCTGTGTGACACTGTTAGTCAATTCTCTTCGATTATTTTGAAGCTCTCGAATTAGATTTTCGAAACTTTCGCCATCATTGGCGTCAAGGTTTCCAGTTATTGATTTGAATATCGACCCAATGCCATTTAATATGCCTCTTTTTCCTCGCTTTGTATGGGGAAATATATTATGTAACTTTTGTTCTACCTGTCGCTGAACAAATTTTAATGTTCTGAAATAATTGGACAAATATGTAGTGACATTTAAATTTGAAGAAATGATTTCTGCTATACGTGAGGAGGAAATTGATAATTTTTCAATTTCAGAAATGACGGGATTCATATCATAATAATGAATGAGTGAAAAGTCATAGTCTTTTACTTTTGTTTCACCAATTTCCACGGGAAGTAGTCCTGGATTGTTGGCGAGGTTACGTATAGTTATGCTATCCTGAAGTCCAACCGTTACTTGCAGGAATCTGCAAATGAATAATACCTACATGTATGTATGTCGTACTTGGAGAGAAACACTTAGTTGCTAAATGAACATGGTTTGCGAAGGGGACGCTTCAAATTATCGATATGTACTTTATTGTGTTTATCAGTAGTAGCGGTCTTTTTACCAGGATCGACTGATGTTAGTGTACATGATTTTTGGAATTTATTTGCATTTTTCTGACGTATTATATGTATATATGAGAAGGGTTCGTATATGTCAGGATCTTCGAAATATATATAGTATGGGACATCGGGTACAATATATTCTTTGACAAAATTTACAACATCTGATTCAAGGTTGTTCTTTGAAATTTGCACTAATAGCCGCTGTTTTCTCTCGAATAAAATTACGATTTTCGGCTTGGCGGGAGAGTGCAGGACCGTTTTAATTACGATCTGATTTTGGCCAAAGTTCAATGGTTGGTCTGATATAGGAATTGTAATAACCGGGTGTTGATTATTAGAGTGCCGGGTTTCATCATCCTTGTCAAGTTCGTCTTCGTTAGTATTGGTTTTGTCAATAACAAAAGGAAGTACGTGGTAGTCAGTTTGTTCTGTTTCATTGATTATATCTTTGTCAGTATTTGTATTGTCAACGGTAGGAAGTTCCTGACAGTCAGGTTGATCTGTTTCATTGTCCAAGTTGACAATCATTGAGATATCGTCTAGTTCAGGGTTTAAATTGGGGTAGCTAATATCTTGAATTATCAGTGGTGAATTTGGATTAGCTTGTATCGTGGGAGGTGTGTTTAAATTTTGATCTACAAAGGTAACTCTTTGATTCTGATAGTTAAGGCTTCTCCAAGGAAGTCATCGAGTTATTCCCAAAAATCGTTAGTTTCCTTAGTATGAATTTCGATTCTAGAAAGAGCGTCAGCATTTGTATTGAGTTTGCCTTTTTTATAGATGATTTTGAAATTATATTCGTCAAGTTTCATTTTCCATCTCATTAATTTTGAGGAGACGCCTTCCTTTAATGAATAAAGGTACTGGAGGGGTTTATGATCTGTTATAATATTGAAGGTCTGCCCATAGAGGTAAGGTCTGAAATATTTGGTAGCCCACACTATAGCTAACAACTCTTTTTCGGTAGTGCTGTAATTTCTTTCCGAATCATTTAAGGTTCGTGACGCATAAGCTACAGGCAAATCACTACCGATTGGACCCTGACTAAGAACTGCCCCTAAAGCTACATTGCTTGCGTCAGTTGTCAAATTGAACGGTCTTGTGAAGTCTGGGTACTGAAGTATTGGGTCGTTGGTAAGTAATGTCTTACAGTTTTCGAAACATGATACAAATTCGTCGTCGTGAACAATTTTTGCGCCTTTTTTGAGGCACTTAGTGGGAGGTTTCGTGAGTTGAGCGAAATTTGGAATAAATCGCCGATAATAGCCTAAGAGTCCTAAAAAGCTTTTTATTTGCCTATTAGTTTTTGGTATAGGGAAATTTTGTATTGCTGAGATTTTGTCGGGGTTAGGTTTCACGCCTTCAGGAGTTACTATATGTCCGAGGTATGCAACCTCTTTTCTTAGAAACTCGGATTTATCTAACTGAATTTTAAAGTTAGATTCGCGTAGTCGGGTAAAGACAGATCGTAGCCTTTCTAAGTGCTCTTGAAGAGACGTCGAAAATACGATAATGTCATCGAGGTAAACGAGACATTTTTCGTTTTGAATTCCTCGGAGGATGTTATCCATCACTCGTTGGAACATGGCTGGTGAATTTTTAAGACCAAACGGCATTCTCAAAAATTCCCAATGGCCATTTTCGGTGTTAAATGCTGTTTTTTCAATGTCTTTCTCATCCATTTCTATTTGGTGAAAACCACTAGCAAGAGCCAACGTACTGAAATAGTGGCATCTTCCTAGTTTGTCCAGCAGGTCGTTTATATTGGGAAGTGGATATTTGTCATCAATAGTCTTATCGTTAAGATTACGATAGTCTGTTACGACGCGCCATTTCTGTTTGCCAGAGGCATCCATCTTCTTAGCCACAACCCAAATGGGCGAGCAATATGGCGAATTACTTTGCCTAATAATGTTCGATTTCAACATTTTTTGAATTTGGTCATTTACTTCTTGTCGGTGAACAAAGGGGTACCGGTAGGTCTTGGAATAAATTGGGATCTCATCAGTAGTTCGAATCTGATGTTTTATCTTGTTTGTGAAAGTTAGTGGTTCGCCTTCACGATAAAATATATCCGAAAATTCTTTGCAAAGTTTGAGGATTGCGGACTGTTCTTCTGAATTTAGGTGGTCTACTCTAATTTTGGAATAGTCTAGTTTATTGGCTGGAGAATCGTTGATATTATTAAGATCAAATTCTCGACATATCGTCGGATGTATAGACTGGTAAAATGGTTCAACAGAAAGGGGTTCAGAAAAGTCGAGTGTAACGGTATCTGTCGTATTGTTCAGTAAGGTCGTCAAAGCATAACTATCTTTCGCAATAGTCAAGCATTCCGGTATTTCACAATTATGGATTTTTTGGTGGGGTATAATAATTTCGCCATCGCTTATGGATGTTTTAACTTTTATGACAAGCTCAGTGCGAGGTTCGATGGAAACAAAATTCAAATTATTCTTAGGTTTTTGATAAAGCAACTTGATGTTTGCATACGGTGTCACAAGAAACCCTTCTTGAAATAAGAGTATTGCCTGTAATTCTTCTAAGTTATCCATACCGATCAAACCATTGAAAAAATCATGAAACTTGAACAAGTAAAATTTTAATTCCTTTAGATGAGGCAAATTGAAAATTTTGGATGCTGGTATTAAAGTACTGAATTTATGGGCGGATTTCTGAAATACAGACGAAACAATGAATGGTTCATTTTTGATTTGTTGTGGAAAATATTTGAATGCGATGTCTGGATCTATAAATGACCTAGTAGACCCGCAGTCAATCAAAAGTTTTATGTCATATTCGGGAAAAACTATATAGCTCAATCCTTTTGTGTTGCTAGCATTGAACGATATAATTTCACTGTTTATGTCGGTTGAAGAACCTGGCTAGCTGGGGGAAAATTTTCATTTCCTGACGTCGAGGTTGGGTTGGGCATGTCAAGTTCATTATTTTGATCGGTATTGTAATGATCGTATTGACAAATATTTTGGTTGGGGTCATCATAGAATTCATCGTAATTATTTTCGACGTTAGTAGCATAAGTTTCATATGTTGCGTTATCATTTAACTCGGTGTTATACAGTTCCTCAAAGATAAAATTTTGCTGAGGTCGAGGTGTGTTCGCCGGAATTGGAGCGAATGGTGGACGTGTTGTGTTTCTTGTGCTGACACTCATCGGTGTCGGCCTGGGAAGATTTCTTGGATTTGAAGAATTGGGCTTAAAAACGTTTGTATTCGGATTCTTTGTTTGTTGGTTGCCAAAGACTTCAGCGTTAGTCGGGAAACGCTGATTTAAGTTAGGTTGAATTTGGATGGGTTGAGATGGGAATTGCGCACGGAAAAAGCTATTAGGCGTACGAGAATTAAAATTTTGATAAGGCATATTAACTGGGCGTGCAGGTCTGAACTGCGAATTTTGAAAATTTGTAAAATTCTGTGAATCTGTCTTAACTCTATATGAAATGTTTTGGAAATAATGCACATTTTGTTCTTCAATCACTAATTGAAGAGCTTCGCTCAAGGAGGTTGGTTTCATGCACCTGACAGTGGTGCCCAATGGTTCTTTCAAGCCTGAAAGGAAAGCCTTTAACGCAAGTTTTTGATACAAATCGCGTTTTATTGCTTTACCACTTTCGGTAGCTTCGTGGATATTAACGTAGCTACACAGATTGTTTAAAATATGCAAACATCTTTCGTGAAATTTTTGAGGGCTCTCATTATGATATTGCTTTAGTAAGCAAAGGTCTCTATGTAAGCACACTTCATCACGTTGGTCAGAAAAACTAGTAACTAATAAAGTTTCGAGTTCACTCCAGGTGTTCACTGAATGAATGTTTATTAAAGATTTGGCATGTCCTCTCAGCTTTGAAAAAATGGAGTTCAATAAAAATGTATTTTGAAAATTGTTTGGATTGGAATGATCATAAAAATTGTCAATCAAGGATTTGCTTACACGCAAAAATCGATTGAGATCGTTACTGTTGCCGTCAAATTCGGGCACACAACTTAAGTATTCGGGCCTAAAAGTAGCCATAGTTGTAGTAATACTTGTAGGTATTGAATGTACAGGGACTTGTGAAAGTATGGGTTCACGTAGTATATTAGAGTACCGTCGAGTATTTGGAGAGTCAGTATTAAGGTCCAAATTCTCAAGGGCTTGCGATATATCAATACTCATTGAAATTTGAAGCGATAAATGGAAAAAAATAAACTGCACTTACAACACTAAGAAAGCGATCTTTAGCATCTCTTACTCCTATAAAGATCCTAGCTGGTTCTGCAATGTTGTCTTCCCCA